GTTGCCTCGGGAAGGGAAAGGCAAAACCAGGAGCCACTGCTGCCGTTGCAAAGCGCCGCCGCGGCTCTTCCTTTTTGCCTTTCCCTTCCTGAGGCAACGCGGGACTGGAGCCACGCAGAGCCGCGCCAGCGGTAGCAACTCCTGACTCGGGGCCTCCGAGGGGAGGGGAAGGAGGAGAAGAAGGGGGGAAAGGGGGGGCGATTCCCAAAAAAATCGGAATTCCGATTTTAATCGGAAGAATATCATGTCTGTATACCACAGAATTGCAGGTGAAAATTAAATTGGTATGAATAAATATTTACGTGCTCTTTTTTTGGCCTCCAACAGTCCTAGACCTTCAATGTCTCTGGAGCAGAAAACTTTAATTTTATTTGTGTTGTTTATTTTCATTTCTGAGAAGACATGCACATCTGTAATCTAATTCCATTAAATCACAAATGTACCAAGAGGCTCTTGTGGGCTTTGGAATTAAGTGAAATCTGCTTTTTGTCCAATGTTGCATTCCACTCAGAAGCAATAGTTTGCTCTAGCAAGTTCAACAAAGGATGTCTCTCAGGGTTTCCACAGAGGAGGAACTGAAAGCCAGCTAAACAGCAGTATGTAGTGATACGTTTGCAATTTTTCATTTTTGGATAAAAGTGGAACCTTCTGATCAGGTCTCTATCAAGAAAGGAAAGAAAAATGAGAGAACCGTACCTTTCTTTGCTTTCTTCTGAAGCTTCAGGGTGTCTGAAGATTTCTTCTTTATTTCCTGGCGCGCTTTTTTGTATTCTACCAAGAGAGTGAGAAAGAGATCGTATATAAACATATTTGATAGGCAGTGGGGCTAGAAGCTCAAGTTAGACAAGCAATGTTGGAGATGAATTTTAATAGTAGTATTGAGTAAGCGAAGGCTCTGCTGAAATTCAGTGGGGCTTATATGCCAAGGTAAGCTTATATGAGATTGAAGCTTAAGCACTTTTCATTTTAATGGCTTGGTGCATTTAACATTTTGCACAAACGAAGGTCAAGAAAGACTAGGAAAACATAATCAACGGAAGTTGTAAGGGTCATAAGTAATAACAGAAGGGATTCTTAGCAATTGCAACAGATTGCCATGGCTTCCTTTTTTTTTTTTTTTTTACATAGAATAAGGTCACCAGACAAATCAATTTATGATCTGGAACAAGCAGGATCATTTTTGACCAGCAGTTTGAATGACATACATATCCTCCCGTAGCCAAAGCCAAAATATAGGACAAACCAAGCAATATTTTTGTGCCACCTTTAGACACCGACAAATTTAGCACAACGTGGACTTAAGACCTCATTCGTATCAGCAGATGCTTAAAAATCTATCTCTGTGTGCGCGCGTGTGTGTACAGCATGTGCATAAATGCAACATATGGAAGAGAAGCTAAATTGTAAACTGTGGGATCAGAGCAAAACCTGGAGAAAAAAAGGCCATCACATTATCAATAGAAGCTATTGTGCATTATCATACTGTTGAAAATGTAAGACCATGGAGCATAACTCACTGCTCAGTGCAGGAATCCCGGTTAAAGCACCTTCAACATCTATCCAATTTTTAAATGAAGACATCCAGCAATGGAAAACTTACTATTTCCCTGCTCAGAAATGGGTATCTTCTGGTGGCTGACCCTTTGTGTCTTATATATCCATCCATCCATCCATCCATCCATCCATCCATCCATCCCCCTACTTACCTCCCTACCCACCCATCCATCCTATATCATCTAATTATTTATTTATTTAATTTATAGACTGCTTATCTTACCTCAAGGCAACCCTGGGCGGCTTACAATCGTAGTCTTAAGCTACGATATCTGGGCTAAAGAGAGAGATGGTGGACTAACTATTGTGATCATAAAGGCCACAATGTGGGTGAGTTATGTGAGTGGGATGTATTTTTAGGGAAATTCTGAAAGGTTTATTATTTAAAATATGGTAGGCTTACAGGATATATTTTATTTACAACTACAATGTAATTTTTTACATTGCTTCCCATCTTAAATGTCACCCAAAATGTACCTTTGATTTCCTACTACAAAAAGAAGATCTGTGGGCAAATATCAGGGATTTAAGTTCTCCTGCCCAGCAGCAACCAGGCAACTGGCTGGATTGTTGAATAGTTTCCGTTGTTAGGAAATTTTTCTTAATATCTGCAGCAATGTGCCTTCTTGTATATAAAGACTATTGTTTCGCGTCCTGAGACAACTGGAGTCTTGCATCAGCAATAATTGTTTGGGGAATGTTACTGTTAATATTGTAAGAGCCATTGTCTGAAAGGAAGGAACCCGTCAGCAGGCAGATTTTTAACAACCTGTCGGGGAAACAGCGAGTGGCCTTGAAGGACACAGGAAGAAGAGCTGTTTCCCAAGGCATGGGGCAGATCCACGAGGCTAGAGCCCAGGCCAAGAAAATAACTTGAGAAAATGTATTAAACGAGCCCCTCCCTCGTTCTCCAGAAGAAGAGAAGGACATTTAGACTTGCAAAATTCTGTTTTCATAGCCGTTGTAAGTAGCTGTTCTGACATCTATCTACAAGTGGTCCTCAACTTACAACCATTCGTTTTAGTGGCCGTTCAGCAATGGTGCTGAAAAAAGTGACTTATGACTTGTTTTTCACGTTTAATGACAGTTGCAGCACCTGTGTGGTCCTGTAATCAAAATTCAGACGCTTGGCAACTGGTTCATATTTATGGGAGTTGTAGTGTCTGGTGATCATGGGATGAGTTTTTGCAACCTTCTGACAAGGGCAAGCCAGATTCACTTATGTTTTGTTTAGCCGGCAGCAGGTGCGGACGGCTGAGGAGAGCGAGGACTCAGATGAGGGGCCAGGACCATTAGGGAGTGGATTGCTGCCTTCAGAGATTGTGGGGGCTGGCAGCAGTGATGAGGAGGTTCCCAAGGAGCCTGTGCCAAGCGCGCAGGATTGCTCAGAGGAAAGAGCAGGTACAACAGCACGGGCAACTCGGGAGTAAGGCTGCAAGGTAATGGCCCCTCCTTCAAGAAGATAAAAGCCAGCTGTGAATCGGACGTTCTTTTTGCAGAAGGCAAAGTCATTTTGAAACCACAGCCTCGTGGACATTCTAGTATCCCGAGTTTGTATTTGAAAATTTTTGTCTTGCAAATTTCTTGTCTGTTGTCTTTTGGCAAGCCTCGCAGAGTTTGGCAAGGCTTGTGCTTATCACATCTAATTATTTTGTAAAAGCATTACAAGGTTTTTGTTCCTTTTGGATTGTGTTTGATTTGTCAGAAAAGGGCGTGGGTCAGAACAACTTAACAACCATGTTACTAATTTTACAACAGTGATTCACTTAACAACTGTGGCAAGGAAAGCTGTAAAGAGAGGCAAAACTCACTTAACAACTATCTGGCTTAGCAGCATAAATTTTGGGCTCAGTTATGGTTACAGGTCAAGGACTACTTTTGTCTATCTGCCTGTCTAGCTATCCAGATACCTAGCTACCTATCTTAAATGTCGACAAAGGAGACTCTAGGAGGCTTATAGACATTGAATAAAATACAGAATAAAACAATAAAGACCTTAAATTTTAAAATTAAATTTAAAAAAAACTAAGCAGGATGGAGACAGAGGGAGTAAAGCGTGCACTGAGAGGAGGAGATGGGGGTATTCACTATTCAATGAGCCACCTCCAAGGTACCACACCCCCATTGGGGTCCCAGGTGAGTTGGCGCAACCATGTTTTCAGGCCTTTCAGAAAGCCAGTAGGATGGGAACAGATCTGACCTCAAGGGGCAGAATGTTTCCAAGGGAGCCATGGTAGAAAAAGGTCTTCTTTTGGACTCTGCCCGCCTAAATTCCTTGGCTGATGGTTACCGCAGCATGCCCCTTATGAGCGGGTGGGCTAATCCCATCTGGTGAACCGGTTTCTCAGAGAGATTATGCTGTTGGTTTCTAATCTGGTCTATTTCATTGGGCTGACATCAATTCTCCTTCTGTTCTTTTAAGGCTCTTCTCTATTGTCTCCACCCATATTATTCTATCATTTCTGCTGTGTGCCCCACACACCAACCCAGCCCCCTGCAGTCCCACTGCCATGTAACTACCTTTTGCATGGTCTTTGTCCAGCTGATTGGCCACTTTCTTCCATTCTTCCATCTGTTCTTGAAGTGGGTTTATCAGACAGTCAATTAAAGCACTAGTTTTGTTGAGAAAACACAAAGAGGAATCAAATCCTGCAGGAAAAGGACCAATCTGAATCCACCTCTAAACCTTTTAAAGGCACACTTTTCCCACACAGGAACCAAAATCCAGAACTTAGAAAGTCCGATTCAATGACAGGCACCATAAATTGGGTTTAGCAATCCTGTAAGAAAGGATTCATGCATTGCCTCAAGGCTGCCTTATAGAGTAAACAGCAGGCTGTTTGAGATTGAGAGGCTGGGGAATTCTGGGAGTTGAAGTCCCAGCGTCTTAAAGTTGCCACGGTTGAGAAATACTGGTTTAGCCCAAGGCCACTCAATGCAAGAGTGGCAAGAAAGGGCCACACTTAATCCTTCAGTGGTGGGTTTGCAAACCCACCACTGGAATGGAATGCTCAGGACAAAGAAATTACCAGGACAAATCACATGCTAAATCTGATTTAATTACACAGGCATGTAATCTAAGTTCAATTACTTACAGTTAATGTGATGATTTGCCATTATCTGATAATTTCCCCCATCTGCTACGTTAAGAAAAAAATGACAGTTTTGTGGCATCTCTGCAAAAAGGCTACAAGCCAAATCCAAAACTCTAGGGAGGCTCAATATGTGCATCCTTGCTTTTGTGACTACGAAGCACAATTTAGATTTGCAGTAACACTTCCTTAATTTCTGTCTCAATCTCTTAATCATTACGCAAGAACAACTCCCCAATTTGTTCAAGAGTTACCAGAAATAGGCCCGCAAGGGAAAAACTGTTTTTTGCAACACTAATCAATGTTCTCAAAAAATTGGAAATCACGCGTTTTGCCATTCTTCACCCACTGCTGAGTTACAGCAATGTCTGAAACAGGAATTCCTATTTTGAAAATACAGAGTCAGAATGTGACTTCTCACATTGAGTTTTCCCCTTTGCAAAGCCCAATTTGTAGAGTGGGAGAAAAATGAAAGGATGTTCCCAGCAACAAAAAGTGGAGGTTAGCTGGAACTCAGCCCCAGTAAACAGCTTAATATGGTCCTGAATGAAAAAACCTGAGTACCAATTAAATTCTGAATGCCATCCAATATCTAATGAAACTCTGTTCCCAGGCTGTCAGCTGGCAACATGCATAACTCACCTTGAAAACTGTCTCAGCTTGGACTCAATGCTTCGATGTCGCATGCACATTCTGGTTAAAGCAGAGCCAATTTCTCTGGTAGCACCTGAAAAGGAAGAAAAAATAGAAATGGACTTAACATATCAAAGCTGGCACCACAAGTTCATTCTGGCAAAGAAAGTAAAACCCAGATTAGACTGAGGGTACGAAGCATTGGGGTTCAAGAACCTGATCAAACCTTATGAGGGGCTCCTACAGAAATCCATAACATTATTATACAAATTTTTGGATCCTGCTGAGACTGATAACTGGGTAACACATTTCCATATAGATTTTGATGTATATGGAATTTGAAATAAAGTATAAAACTTTTGAGAGCCAATTTGGTGTAGTAGTGGTTAAAGATCAGGCTAGAAATTGAGTGACTGTGAGTTTTACTCATGCCTTAGGCCCAAAGCCAGTTGGGTCACTTGGGGCCAGTCACTTTCTCTCAACCCTAGGAAGGAGGCAATGGCAAATCACTTCTGGAAAAACCTTGCCAGAAAAAATACAGGCATTCTTAGAGAATCAGACATGACTGAATGGTAGAAGAAAAAAAAAAAACAGATTTGGAATGAGATTGTATTTTTGAAAGTTATCCCTCCAAATTATTTGAGTGTGATGCAATAAGCGTGGAAATATTTTTTAAAAAATAATAATAATGAAATAGCTTACAAATAAAATTTTATCCAGCACTTGAGTGTTACTAGAGCAAGGAAGTCAGCTGATTTCAATGGTCAGACTTCCTCAAACTAATGCTTCTCATATGGCTGGATTTCATTTGCCATAATGATCATTTAGCTTGCTCTTGCAAGCTGGGAACTGTAAGAACTGAAGCCCAGAACATTTGGAAAATAATGCTAACCCTAGCCCATCTTTGTAACCCACATCAAAAAAAAAAATGAAGCATGCTAAGAATTCTAAAGTTGTCAAGTATCAGGAACATAAAAGAGAAATAGGAAATGAGACAAATTAAGATTGGATTTTATAGAGCTGCAATGTATCTAATTATTTGGTTGCTCCTTGCTTATGAGATGGATGCAAAGTGTGATCCCCTTCTCATTCAGAAACCAATTCACAAGAATCCTACACAGCCAAAAAACTGTATATTTGATTGCACATAACAGACATGAACAATAGATGGTGCTGTTTCTAAAGGACATGAGAACTTAGCTAAAACTGTCTTGCTGAATCAGTGGGAAAAGATAGACTTCCTTGAGGAAGATCATAGCATAACCAAGACAATCCAACCTTTGTTTATTATAAGCACCAGTCAAGAAATATGACTATGAGTGAATATAGATCTCATCCAGTCACTGATATGTTTTTTTCCCTGAATCTGTTTTATAGCATTCCATTTTTACTCTACCTCTCCTTGCCTTCATGTTAACTATGAAAGATTGCAAAGCCATTAAAGTTAATGCAGTGCCATTAAAGAATGCCACAGAGATATCATAAATTCTTTCCCATCTAGGCAGGTAGGGTCCTTCTTCTGAGAATTTCTAGAAATTTTATAGGCTTATTCTTTTCACTCTCACAGACCTATTCTCATTTTTCACCAATGGGTGATTTCAAACTCTAGGACGGGTCGCCAACCTTTTGGACCTCAGGGACCACCAAACTCATAATATTAAATCCCACGGACCACTAATATGAATTTTGACTGATGGCGGCTTGCTGACGTGGGTGGGACAATCGGTTCCATATTCCAGAGCTGCAATAGCCACAGGACTGGCCCTTTGGTCATCCTGGAGCAGCTGCTTCTCCATCCGGGTACATCGGCCTGCCATGGACTGGAGGAGCAGCTCCAGATGACCAAAGGGCCAGTCCTGCGACTACCGCAGCTCTGGAATATGGGACTGACTTTCCCACCAATGTTAGCAAGCCACCCTGGGGCGGATTTCCCTCCCCCGCTGTTGGTCTTTCCTTCCAGTTCGAGCTCGCGTGGCTCTACTTAAGGTAAGGCTTGTGCTCGGCCGAAGAGTGGGGCCAGCGGATGGGCGGGCCATGTGGGCGGCACATCCTTGTGTTCCCGCTTGGATTAATTGCTTTGGAGGGAGTGCTTTAGGGGGGACATTTCTCTGCAGACCACCAAAATTTTCTCACGGACCACCAGTGGTCCCCGGCCCACTGGTTGGCGACCATTGCGCCAGGAGACTGAGGAATCATTGCTGTTTTCTCTAAACAGTTTGGGTTTTCAATGAACCTGAATCCAGTCTATGGGTTGAAAAGGCAGGATTCTACAGCAAACTGAAAATAGCATTCACAATTCAGTTAATTTAAAATGGATAATGGAAGATCAGAAGGAAGAATGATGACATTGGTGAGTTAGCAAAATTCAGAAGCTTTGGGCATTAAGGGGCAGCCCCCCAAAAAAAGAGCGGGTCAACCTATTCTCCAAAGCATCTGAAGGCAGGAAAAGAAGCAATGGACGGAAATTAATCGGAGAAAGAAACAACCCAGAACTAGGGAGAAAATTCCTGACAGAACAATTAATCAGTAGAACAACTTCCCTCCAGAATGTTTATTTTGGATTGGGACAATATAAGCACAGCTTCTCATTCAAAATATAGTTTTCAAAAGGGGACAGAATAAATGTATATTTACACATCTATCAGCTGAATCTCTGATCACTTTATTGCATTGTCAAACTAACCACATATGATTTAAGACAAGCAACAAACCCAAATGATTTCAGAGGGTAGAAGTTTGAACGTGACAAGATGGATGGATGGATGGATGGATGGATGGATGGATGGATGGAAGGAAGGAAGGAAGGAAGGAAGGAAGGAAGGAAGGAAGGAAGGA